ATCTATATGTCTGACAATATTATTCTTTATTATAGTTTCAACCAGTTTGCCCTGTACTGAAATCAGACTTGCCGGCCTGTAATTGCCCAGATCACCTCTGGAGCCATTTTTAAAAATTGGCATCACATTAGCTATCCTTCAGTCATCTGGTACAGAAGCTGATTTAAATGATAGTTTACAGACTAGAGTTAGTAATTCTGCAATTTCAGAATTGAGTTCCTTCAGAACTCTTGGGTGAATACCATCTGGTCCTAGTGACTTATTGCTAACAATCCTAATTGTGGCACTGAGTTTCAGTGTCAATGAGATTGGGGTGGCAACTTGTGACATACTTGGCTACAATTGAGACCGGTAGGGGGGATATGCCCCCTGCCCTGCAACCCTGGGTGCCTTACAATGCCTTGCTGTAGTAGCTCCCACCTGGGCCACTCACAAATAGCCAAACAGAGTGCAAGCCACACCCTGAGTGTCTGTGTAACTGCAGCTTGCCAGTTACACCCTTGTTCTCACACCCCAGTCCCAGATTTCCCCCCAGAAATGTATGTCCTGTAATGCCCAGCCCTCTCCTGGACAATACAGATATTTCAAGTCTGTTATTCCTTTAAAGGAATAATACACAAGCTTATTATCTTAAATGGAGTTACCCAGACATTTCAATTTAAACATACCGGATTCGATAAAACAGTAAAAAGTTTACAAACTACAAAGAAATCTTAAATGAGGACAAGTAATGAGGCAGAAGAGTCAGAAATTGTTACTAGAAAAATAAAGATAAAACACCTACTAATGTCTAATTTAACAAACTATATGAGATTCAAGCACATTTTCTCACCACATGCTTCCAACAAGGCTACTGACCAAACTCTTCATGTCAGGACCCCTCCCTCAAAGTCCAGCGGCTGTTTCCTTTTGTCTTCTCAGGTGCACAGAATGTGATGGGCAGGCAGAGAGAAAGAGAGAGCACAGTATCTTACAATGTGTGACCCTTTTTTATATACTTTCAGTCCCCCTCTTGAAAAATATTTCCATCTGGGATCAAGGGGACAAAGTCTGTGTGGAAGGAAGTTCCCTACTCTTTCTTCCACCTGTTTGAGCTTCTTCTTTTGGTTTCCCTTCCTCCTTTGTGACTCTGGTTAATGCTTAAATTAAAAATTAAGGTACACATACATTCTTGTTCAAGACAGGTCTGTTTGACCAGTTTGTTGCACATCAGTTTTGAATGTGACACATGGAATTCTTTTATAGCATCAGCCTGATATTCATAACACACATGCTTCACACCCCCAGGATGTGCCAGCATGCTTCTGGATGATGTTAATTGTTAGAGGGCTTTCCCTTCATCCTCTCCCCTGGATCTTGTCATGCAGACAGAAAGCAGAAGACCAGAAGTCCAAAATTCAGTCAATGCAATGTTTATTGGGATTAATTTCCCGCAAGCATGTCCATAACTCTGACACCACAGAGCCTTATTTCCCAGTGTCCCGTCCCCCCCTCCTCAGCAGGCATAATTATACCTGAAATGCACGCCCTTGGTCTCACCCCTTACAATGTATGGTGATGTTCCATAGTGGGGGGTCATGGGTCTGGGGTCTTCTTCCCACCTTTCTTGTACCCCATAGGAGGGGTATGGAGTGAGTTGTGCTACAGTCAGGGGCAAGCATTTCTCTGGCCTTGTAATGTTTTATATCTTCCCCCCAATCCCCTCTTGCCCCTCTCAACTGGTTGCTTGACCTTGCCTTATGTAAGAACGGCCATACTGGGTCAAACCAAAGGTCCATCTAGCCCAGTAACCTGTCTTCAGATAGTGGCCAATGCCAGGTGCCCCAGAGGGAATGAACAGAACAGGTAATCATCAAGTGATCCATTCCCTATCTCCCATTTCCAGATTCTGGCAAACAGAAGCTAGGAATACCATCCCTGCCCATCCTGGCTAATAGCCATTGATGGACCTATCCTCCATGAATTATCTAATTCTTTGTTGAACGCTGTTATAGTCTTGGCCTTCACAACATACTCTGGGAAAGAGTTCCATAGGTTGACTGTACATTGTGTGAAGAAATACTTCCTTTTATTTGTTTTAAACCTGCTGCTTATTAATTGCATTTGGTGACCCCTAATCACCTTGAGATAGAAGTTGAGGCACTCTTCAAGTGTGTGCTCATATATTAT